CAGCTATCTTTCTGTTGTTGAGATCTCATTTATCCTGGTATGGTCCTCTGAGAACATAATCTACATGGCTCTAATTTTCATGATTTATTAAGATTTGATTTAAGAGTTGAAATTTGGTCTAGGTTGCTGATTGTTACAAATGTGCTTGAAAATAATGTGTATCTGCTGGAATGTTCTATAAATATCAGTTAGGTCAGGTCTTCTATACCCTTACTTTTCTATTTCCTCTTTGGATTACAAAGAGAGAAGTGTTGAAGCCACCAACTATCATTATGAATTTTTCTATTTCTCGATTCAGGGCTATTATTTTGTTTCATGAATTTTGAAACTCTGTTTATAATATAAATTTTGATAATTTGGAGTGAATCCTTTTAGCAAGTAGAAACAATAGATTCTCCTCCTTTTTTTTTTTTTTTAGAGAGAGAGAGAGATAGAGAGAGAGAGAGAATTTTTTAATATTTATTTTTTAGTTCTTGGTAGACACAACATCTTTGTTTGTATGTGGTGCTGAGGATCGAACCCGGGCTGCACGCATGCCAGGCGAGCGTGCTACCACTTGAGCCACATCCCCAGCCCCGCATATTCCTCCTTAAGAACTTCTCTCAAATGCATAATGTTTTCATGCATAAACCATGTTGACACAGATTCTTTTGTTCTGTCCTTCAGGTTAGCTTAGTGGTCCTCAAACTTTAAAGTATAGAATTCTGCACAAAAATCCATGTATACTTCATGGATTATTTTAGGAATATACAAGGATAAATTTAACTGTACCTGATTTTTTTTCTCATGCACTTACTTTAGAACCCTGAAAAATTCTTCTTCACAGTGTATATTTTCCTCTTTTATTTTGCTTGAGAATGTCCACTCCAAAGGTCATGTTTTCAACCAAACTTCTATGAATTAGATAGATCCAAGCTCCCATATCACTTCATGTCTCTGTCATAGCACATAAAATACTACTATATTTGAAATATATGTGAGATTTCCTCTAAGAACTGAATCATCTGTTTCTTGTAATAGTAACCTGATATGTAGTTATGTTCTTAGGGGTGATTTTTAAAATAAATAGATGACTAAATGAATATATGTTTTTTTCTGCTATCTCCAACAAAGTGGCTAGATAATTTAAGTTTTTCTTGACTCTTGGTCTTACTCATAATTGTAGAATCATAATCCCTAGCAAAATACTTCACTCTGCATTCTTTTGCTGATTTATTAATCAGACTGTTTACCATCTTTGAGTACAGTACCCAAATGATATAGGAAAAATCATTATTATTACTATCATCACCTTCATCATCATCATCATCATTGGTTTTTCTGGTATAACCCCTGCTTGGAAGTACTTCACTGGTATTTCCAGGACCCATAAGTGAGTGAGCTGTTATCAATGGGTAATTTTCTGTTCTTCTGTTCTGTCCAACTGCTTCTATGGGGTGCCACTCTTACTTCTTTTAGCTATTGCTGCATCTTTTCTCAGAGTAAGACAACCAAGGTGTCTTGTTCTATAGATTCCTAAGAGATGTGAGATTCTCTGATATCCTTTGTGTGCCAAGTACAATGAAAATCCCTCTTACTGTTCTCTTTTCCACATGGTGCCCATGTGGTTCTCCTACATTTTCCAGTGTTTTTCTACATATAACCTCTTCCTCCCACTTCCTTTTTAGAACTCAGATAGGAACATATGAAAGACCTGGACCAGAGAACATATTTGAACTCATGGAATCCTTCCTCTTTAATGCAGTCTAAATTTTGTACTTGACTCATTTTAATTCTTTTTTTCTTGGGAAAAATTTTTTCTCCAGGAGAATTCTTAATACATAGGCAGATTATTTCTTGCAAGCCTGACCCATCTATCTTCCAGATACACCTAGACTGAATTCCAGAAGTCACCACAATTGTGACAAATGGAGCATGATTTATTGTACCTCAGGTATCTACAGGGCCTATTTAATTATTTGCAATTGGGTGGACCAGCTCCAAATGATCTTAGTTGTGGCTGCTGATATGCAGAATATGGTGATGGAGCTGAGCCTTTTGTAGGTATTGATAGCAGAAATCAAGTGCCACAGGTAGACAGACACCCAAATTGTACTACAATTATTAATCCAGGGAAATAACTACTAATAGAGGTTTCAAGAAGAAATAGTAAAACAGTATAATAGTACATGAATGACATCCAAAGGCTAAGAATCTGGGACATGGTATACCTGTATGTCCAGGCAGGAAAGAAAATGTTAATTGGATGATCTTCAATGAGAAAAAGGACCTAGCTACCAGACTCACTGCTGAGTGTGGGCTTCAGGCTCTGGTTAAGGGACCAACAAGCATTAAACAGGATCCAGACCTAAAAAAGGGTTGCTAAAATGAAGCAAATGAATGGAGGCAAGGGAGAGATACGTGTGTATTTATCCATTCTTTCTTTCAGAAGATGTTTATGAGAGCCCATATGTGTCAAATGCTTTGTTAAGAAGCAGCTCACTCACAAGACCTGGCATAGGTAATGCTCAGGAATGGAATAGAATTCTGCTCAGTGTGCAGAACAGAGACACAATAGCAAGGTAAGAGTAGCAGCAAGTGTAGCTCCATGATGACACTTGAGAGTGTCAGCTGTCAATTTAGAAAGTATTTATATACACACTAGCATTTATGGGACTGTGCTAAAGCTTTGTGTGCATTACTTCATTCAGTTCTCTCTGTTGCCTTTTGAGGTGTGTATTGTCTTCATTTTTATGGTTGAAAGAGACTGATCATTTTCAGTTGTAACAAATGAAGTGTTATTTACTGTTCTTTGGGTTTCTATGGGATCTACTAAGTTATTTACAACTGGATGGGCCAGGTCAGAGAGGCCCTCATCCTTTTTGCTGCTGTGGAACAGAGTAGTGGGGCCTGTTGCTGGTACTGATAATGGGATCCAGTTCAGGGACATGAAGGGAGTTAGTAAAGGTTCTAAATTAAAGTGGGAAGCGGGGAGAGCAGGAATTCAACCTAACTTTTCTTAGCCCAGTGCCCCTGTTTTGTTTTTTACATTGCATCATTGATAGTAATGCTATGTACTGTTAGAATACAGAGTCCTGTTTTCTCCCCTACCACATAGTCTCAGAACAACAAATATTTTGAATTCTCATGCTGCATTTCTGTCTTTCTTCTATATTCCTCTGTAACATTGTGCCACCACCACTGTGACTTGTAGTGGCTCTGACATTTCATTCTAATTAGCAGTGTTTGATCTGCAGTAGGCTAAGAAATAAGATGCAGTAATAGCATTTACTTATTGATCATCAACTATTGGTAGACTCTGTGCTAGACCCTTATGTGTTTTATCTGTACACTTCTTATTCAAGGACAGAGATACTATTCTTTTTTGGTACAGATATTTTCCATGTACCCTTGCTCTCATGTATGTGCAGCCCCTCTCATTGTCAACAAATCTCATCAGAATAGTAGAATTGCTAACAAAATAATAGTAATTTGCTCAATTAATTAATCTAGGCATCATGATAACCTAAGGTCCATAGTTTACAATAGTATTTATTCTTTTTTTAAAAGACAGCTTTATTAAAATATAATTTACCCATGATTCACCTATTTAAATTGTATAATTCAATGTTTTTAATGTATTCACAGTATTGTACAACAATCACAAAAATCTAATTTTAGAGCATTTTTAACTTCCTAAAAGAATTTCCATACGCTTTAGCAGTCAATCCTTATCTTCTCACCTTAAGACCCCTAAATAATTACTAATATGCTGTCTCTCTATATAAATTTGCCAATTCTGGACTTTTCACATAAGTGGAATCCCACAATATTTGGCTTCTTTGACTTAACCATTTTGCAGCATGTATCAGTAATTCATTCCTTTCTTAGTAATTTTTTTATTTATATATGACAGCAGAATGCATTACAATTCTCATTACACATATCGAGCACAATTTTCATATCTCTGGTTGTATACAAAGTATATTCACACCAACCTGTGTCTTCATACATGTATTTTGGATAATAACATTCATTATATTCCACCATCATTTCTAACCCCATACCCACTTCCTTCCCCTCCCAACCCTCTGTCCTCTCTAGGGTTCGTCTATTCCTTCCATGCTCCCTCTCCCTAACCCACTATAAATCAGCCTCCTTATATCAGACAAAGCATTTGGTATTTGGTTTTTTGGGATTGGCTAATTTCACTTAGCATTATCTTCTCTAACTCCATCCATTTACCTGCAAATGCCATGATTTTATTCTCTTTTATTGCTGAGCAATATTCCATTGTGTACATATGCCACATTTTTTAATTCATTCATCTATTGAAAGGCATCTAGGTTGGTTCCACAGTTTAGCTATTGTGAATTGTGCTCCTATAAACATCAGTGTGGCTGTGTCTCTGTAGTATGCTGTTTTTAAGTCTTTTGGATATAGACCGAGGAGAGGGATAGCTCGGTCAAATGGTGGTTTCATTCCCAATTTTCCAAGAAATCTCCATACTGCTTTCCATATTGGCTACACCAATTTGCAGCCCCACCAGCAGTATATGAGTGTACCTTTCCCCACACATCCTCGCCAACACCTATTGTTATTTGTCTTCATAATAGCTGCTATTCTGACTAGAGTGAGATCAAGTACTTATTCTTAATGTTGTACATTCTCTGGGTTTGTACAAATTTTTGAAGTATGTGAATCCTCTTTCACTGCCTTAAAAATTCTCTATGCTCCACCTATTCACCTTTCCCTGCCTCCTAACCTTTAGCAAACACTGATCATTTTACTGTCACAATAGTTTTGCTTTTTCTAGAATGTCATAGTTGGAACCATACTTTGGTTGACTTCTTTTCCAGATTGACTTCTTTCACTTGACCTCTTTACTTCCCTTTAGAAAGATGACCTTGGAAAGGGCACATTCAAGTTTGACTCCATGTCCTTTGACTCCCAATCTAATGCTCTTTCTACAGTTCAGTTCCCCTTGTTAAAGAAGATGATACTATTAAGAAAAATAAGATGCATAGGTTTGGATTTATGGCAGGCCCGTCTCCCTGGGTCTCTCATAGTGTCCCATGCCTGAGCAAACTGTGGCCCCCGCACCATTTCCTGGCCTCTGCCTGTAGTCTGCTGGCACTGAAGAGGGTTGCACAGTGCGGGGTGGGGGTGGGGTGGGGGAGTAGGGGGTGGGGGAGGGGGGAGGGGGCGGAGAAAGAAAAATAAGTACAGGAATAGAAATCTTCTTCTCTACTTAGAACCATTGTCCCACAGTTGTTGTCTACAGATCTTTTTATCAACATTACACTTTGCCATGGAATAATCTCAAGGTATTCCATTCAGCAATATAGTCTGATCATTATTATTTCAGTGGTGACTATAACATACACAACATACACACACACACTTTATATTATACTCGATTTATCTTCCACTTTCTGTATTTACCAAAGATTCCACTGATGATTTGGATCAGTCTCATCCTTGGAGCACATTAATTACATAGGACCACATAACATTTTGTTTTCTCATTTCTCATTGATTTTTAGTTAACATTGCATGTTATGAAATTAGATTTTATGAGTATGATTATATATATAATTTTCCAGTACTGTCACTAAAACTGGCCACACAGTTTTATAGGGCAGGAAGTAGGAGGAGGGGAAGTCCTCATTTCCTGTCTCCAAAAAAAAAAAAAAAAAGATTTCAATTAAGATACTCAGACTTGATTGAAGCAGTTTAAGAAGGAGCAGTTTTTTTTTTTTTTTTTTTTTTTAGCAAAGCAGAAGTATAGTACACTCTAAAGGAGGTGGAGTGAGCTTCGCCAAGAGGTGGTGAGCATTCTTTCCTCACAATTTTGGTTTCTATCCAATGCAATTCCTTTCTCTCACATTTATTTAATAGTGGGTGGTCCTTTTTGTTCTACTTCCTGATTTTTCTTCTCCCCCCTTTGGGTCTTGAGATGCACCTGTGCAGGGTCAGCCATCTTGAAAATATCCTATCAATTTTCCAAAAGTCCAGAAGGGGATAAAAACTGCAATGTAAATGATATTATAATGAAGTCCAAGTCACACAATAATTAGGTACTGCACATATCTAACTCTTTTGTGAGGAAAAGGGAAGGTAGTTTTTTCTTGTATACTCCTCTTAATGGAGAAGTTAAACACACCAGTAAAACCTTGAGGGCATAACAGCATATATCCAAAACCACAAAAAGTGGTTTGATATGGCTCTTGTCATTCTCACCCGTATCTATCTGACTGCTTACTCTAATGCTAATAACCCACCATATTAGTGAAAACTTTTGACAAATTACATCTGATGGAATTTGGTGGAAATTGAATTAATATGCTGTTATGTTTTAGATATGAGGTGTCTCCAAAAGCTCATGTAAGACTGCAAAAAAGTTTAGAGGTGAAATGAGGGCCTAACCCTAATCACTGCATTAATCCCTTGATGGGGATTAATTGGGTGGTAACTTTAGGCAGGTAGGGTGTGGCTGGAGTAGATGGGTCATTGAGGGCGTGCCTTTGGGGTAGATGTTCTGTCCATGGTGAGGGGAGTCTCTCTTTCTCTCTGCTGTCTGGTGTGATGTCCTGAGCTGCTTTCCTCTCTCACACCCTTCTGTCATGATATTCTGCTTCACCTCAAGCCCAGTTATGGACTGAAACCTCTGAAACTGTGAGTGCCAAATAAACTTTTCCTCCTCTAAAATTGTTTTTGTGAGGGCTTTTGGTCACAAAAATGAAAAAGCTGAATAAACATGTGCCAGATCTGTGTATTTTTAGACTTTGCATTCACAATTACTTTGTTGGGAGAGACTGTAGGTCACCTTTTGTCCATCTGAATCTATGTGGTAGTGAATCACGTGCATGTGAAGATTTAATTCATAGTAAATACTATGAGTACTGAAAGCCTTGGGAGCCAGACAGTGATGTAGTTCCATTAGTAAAGATGTTCTACACCTGTCCGTGATAGTGCTGAATTGCTGGCTGCCTCTTTGCAGTAAGTCAAACAGGAGTGGTAACTAATCTCCCTTTAGTTCTTATGCCAGTGATTGATTAAATTATGCTATTAACCAATATTTTTGAAAATCTAGTAAACATTAAACATCTATTAAGTTCTAGAACTATATGTTTGAACATATTAGGCACATTTCCACCCTCAAAGAGCTTATAGCTCAGTAGATATTCAGCCAGTAACAGCTCTTGATGGATGGTAATTAACATGTCTTTGGGATGAGTTGCAGGCACCTTTAGAATCCTACAATTAGATCTGTACCTTATGTACAAACTATAAGTGAAGATGGCAATTAGTAAAAAGCCCATTTCGATAATTTTAAATATTGAGAATGAGTAATTGAGTTCTGGTGTATCAGTAAAACCTGCTATGCATTCTTTAGATACTATATTAAAACCAAGGAAATTAATACATTTGGGAGAGCTCAAATATGCCTTCATCTTATGCAGTATTTCAGCCACATCATATGCTGTTCTCTATGTCCTCATTCTTGAAACACTTCCTTTTCTTGGCTTCTTTGGGCTTATATTCTATTGTTTTTTCTCCTACTTTCTTGTCCCTTGCTGATCACTTACCTTGAATTTCTGAGTCTATTCTTGGGCCACAGTCCCTTATCTATGCTTGCTCTCTCAGTAATGATCATAGCTATCCAAGGTTTTAAGTGCATCCAGTGCTGATGATTTCCAGATGTATATCTTTAACATCCATCTCTCTCCTAGATTCTTGACTTACATATCCAACTACTATTTCACATCTCCATCTTATTGCTAGTATTCATCTCAAACATAATGCAACTAAACTGAACTTCTCTTCCTTCTCAGTTTTTTTTTTTTTTTTTCCATTTTAGTAAGTGACACTTTCATTCTGTCAGTTGCTTAGGCTTAGGACTGAGCTCTCTACACGTGACCCTTGGTGTCCTGTTCAGTTGGGTGAGATGGTGATATAACAGCTTTACTCCTGGTCATTATAGAACTTGAAAGGCACAGCCACATGGATTTCTTTTGTGGGAGAGGGCCTCCCACCCAATCTCAGTATTTCTGAGGAAGCAATGAGCAAAGTAGGCTGGAGGAGGCTTCAACAAGACTTCACTCTTCCGGTTTTCCATCCTTCTGTCAAAACATAAGTCTTTAGTGTACAGTATCTTTTCCCATATAAAATTGATATGCCTACAATTTCCTATAGTGGGAAGGTTGGATGGCTCCAAATGCAGTTTCTTACCTCTTTGTGTGAAATATAAACCCCAACACCTGTTTACTATCTTGTTGGTTGAACCCAGCTCTTAGCCCCCCACTAATCCTACACTGCTTCTGGGTTTAGGATTCTCGGTCATTTAGAAAAGTTCATTTCAATTTTCTGGGTGACTAAAATGAGTCTGGAGGTGTGGGGATGAAACGAGCCCTTTAAAGATACTGACTCAGAAATAACTAAGCACTTTTCCCTCCACCCTTTTGGTAGGTGAATCAAGTAAATAAATGAAAAACCTAGTTTTAAAAAGTTTCCGGGGCAGCTTTTGACTTTCCAAAGCCAACTTTGGTAATATTCATCCTCTATGGCTTCTGTATCTTATCTTTAGATTAGGGTTCCTGATTTCAACCTTCAACTCTCCTTTACAACCTTATCTCATGGTTTTCTTCAAAAGATGGCTCTCAGGATGTCTGAGGAGTGCTAACTAATCTCCCTTTCTAGGCACATTGGCCAGTTGACTACAGTAAATCTGCATTTCCATTTGTAAAGTGGCAGTGGTGATTATTCTCGACTTATTCTGGTAATTACTTTATAACAAAGCTGAGCAAGATGTTGCATGTAAATTACTTAGGGTAATTCCCGATGGAGAATCACTAATCTTTAAATCACTGTTCTTCATCCACTATTTCTCTTGCTGAATGAGTCTCTGAACTTGCTCCATACATTTCTGTCTTGATGTGATTGATCATGGCTTTTCCTTTCCCTTGCAACACTCGTTTCCTCCTCCTCAACCATTATGTGTTCCCTGTCATGAAATAAGGTTTTATCTTAGGCACTTACCTCAGAGATCTTTACAGATTTATCTTTTACTGACAGCGTAAGCTCCTTTTCCTCTTCTGTACGTGCTCTGCTACCACACAGCTTTGCACACTCCTCCCTCTGAACTGTCATACTCGCCTACTACGTTCTTACGGTCCTGAAGTATATTCTGTCTAGCATTCTGGCATTCACACAGAGGTTCATTTCCATTCCTAGTCTCCAAGCACTTTGAGATCTGTGAAAACTCATCAACCTTGGAGGAAAGGCTCTACAGAGGTTGATCTGTCCTGGGAGGCTACTCAGGTATCAGTGAATGAGGAAAGTGACATTCGAGAGCCAGACAACTTTCATCCAAAATAGTGGCTGAGGTGATTACTGACTGTAGCAGCTAACTCATCTCCCATTACTCTCTTCTATGTTCTGTGATATAAACACACCAGAGAATCTTAACACATTGCTAATGTGTAATAGGAAGTAAGCTTGGCCTCTTTTACTCAGATACTTCCTTCTCCTGTTTTCTGTGCATTGGAGTCTAGCAACACATGGAAAATATCTTCCCCTTTAAATACACTAAAAGTCTCCATAATTTGCTTGTAAGTGTTCTTCACAGGCTCACAGAGCCCCGCCTTATAGGAGTGCTTTTCCTATGGACCACAGGACATAAGAGAAAAGGAAAGAATTGCCACCCGTGTAACTACATTTTTTTGCTAAATTTTGAATACTCTGTGTTCGTCTGTCTGCCTGTCTTTATCTCTGATTGTAGCACATGGAAACTGCTTTAATGGAGTGTAATAAATATGGTAGAGCTTTTCTGTATCTGATGTTCAATTTTCTCAATATAGTAGTATACATCGAAGAAGGCCCTAAGCTCAAAATTGTATTTGTCTTAGGACCATTAAAAAATGTTGGAAAAGTCTGTTGCCATTCAGACCTTGTCTGCATACTGACTAGCTGGATTTGGCTGCTTACCCACATAAGAAATAGGCAGATGATGGAAAATGGAAAAGTTAATTTTATGAAGCCTGATCAAACTTGGGAGAAGTAGTAATAAGTCCCCAACCTATCCACAAAAAAAGATGGATCTGAGCTCATATTTTTCTTTGGCTTGCTTTCAGTAGACCTCAGAGTGGGTGGC